CCCCAAAACCCCAAAACCCCAAAACCCCTTGATTCTAAATTACTTGAGTTTCTAGAAATTATCTTAAATATAATAGTTAATTATCTAGAAATCTTGTTTATCTCTTGAACTAAGATGAGTGTAAGCGCAATGAATAAAATAATTGACAATCTTTGGCTTGGGGACATGGTTGGTGCCTATAACAAGTTTCTACTTAAAAGGAATGGCATTACTCATATTTTGACTGTAGCACAAGGAATAATGCCGAAATTTCCTACCTAATTTCATTACAAAATTATAAACATTCTCGACATGCCTTCAGCAAATTTAAAACAGCACTTCTAGTCTTGCATTAAGTTTATCAAAGATGCTGTTGCTGAAGGCGGCACAGTATATGTTCATTGCTATGCTGGAGTTTCAAGAAGTGCCACTATAATTATTGCATATTTAATGTAGGAACATGGCATGACTTTCTTAGATGGGATGCAGCATGTTAGAAAATGTAGATGGTTTATCAATCCTAATGATGGATTCAAGAGATAATTACAAGCTTTTAATAGAGAATTAGCTAACAAGAGATCAAAAGGAGACTCACTAAATAAAGAGGAGACCAAAGTTGAGACTGTCGTGAAACCACTAGTTGTTGAAAAAAATGTGATACATGAGAGTGTTCCTTATAAGAATTTTATGATTGAGGGTAGAGGTGGGTCTGTTCCTCCTGCCATTAGGAATTACACTGGACTCTCTTAGAGTGAAGATATTAATGCTAAACAGAGGGAAACTTTATAGCCTAGTGCAGGTGTAATACCTTAGACATAGAACCTTAAAAATTTAGAGGTATCTTGTCTTGATTAAATTTATTTTAGTTTGAGAAGTAAAATAGTGCTAAAATTGGAAATAGAGCGACTACAACTTTCAATCAAATAAGAGTTGCCTATCAGTCTCCAATACCTAAATCCTCTAAAATGATACTTAGTAATAGTGTTTAAACTAACAGTAAGTTAAATTCAACTCAATATTTTAGAGCCAAATAAATTTGCCTAGATCAGAGTTGGAAGTTCTCCTTATTCCCCATTCAAATCTGGAGTCTTATCAACTGGATCTCCTATTAAGGCATAAGTTAGATACCCAAGTTCTAATCCAATGATGAATTAGAATGGAAAAGGGTTTTAGATTTCTTCATAGTATATAGCCTAAACAAAGTACTGAAAATGATCTGATATCAGAATCATAAAATTTAGGTCTCTAATAGCAAAAATAACTAGCTATAAATGATGTAATGAATATATATCATATAATCAAAAGTATAATTATTCATTAAAATAATTAAGTAAGTTAATACCTATTTATTCATCTAATCTCATGATGGGGTTTTGGGGTTTTGGGG